ATCTCAGCTTCTCCTCCTACGTCAGGTGCTCCAGCACCTCTGACCATCTTGGTGGCCTCCCCTGGACTCAGCCCAGTGTGTCCATGCCTCTTTGTGCTGGAGAGCCCCAGCACCACCACAGCGCTCCAGATGTGGACTCTCAAGTGTCGGGTGGGAGGCGTCACTTCCCTCGACCACTTTTGCCATCCTAGCCCAGGATGCTGTTGGTCTCCTTTGCCACAAGGGCGCATTCCAGATTCATGTTCAGCTTGATGTCCACCAGCACACCAAGGTCCTTTCCTGCAGAGTTGCTTTCTAGCCAGGGAGACCAACTTCTACTACAGCCCCAGGCCCTATAGTCAGGGAGAGATTGCCACTTATTTTAAAGAATGAGTCCTGAGTCTATCCTTAACAACTAGTAATGTACTATGTATTAATATATTGCTGTTTTAATTACAAGCAATGCTGTTGACATGTGAGTAGATGCAAAGTTTCCTCAGTAACAACGGCATCTGATAAAGGAGGTCAACTTTTCTAAATACTTATCTGTTAAGCTCAAATTTTTCAAATAGCTGTTCCTCCCTGCTCTCCCGTGCTTGTTTGTTCATTTGTTTCAGCTCTTTAGTGTCAGTTTTGTCCCTGACATTATCAAAGGAATGTTTGGAACTTATTGTCCTCTCTTGGGAAGATCTGGTTCCCCTTTGTTTGAAATGGAAATTTGAAATGGGGAAAGACCTCTGTGGTGGCATTGCATTTGAGCCTGCTGGTTTCCTTGTGTAAAACTCCTAAAATGTTGCCAAATTGTGAGTTTCTCAAAGCAGCAGTTTGCAAATGCCCCAAATAAATATCTGTATTCCTTGAGCAAAAGGTGCTCAAGAAAACTGAAATCTAAACATTTTCTGGAACCTCAGAGATCTCTTTGGCCAAACATTGCAAATGCTAACCTACAAAGTAATTGAGCGTGCTCTGGCATAAAGCTGAATAGGTATCCTCTGCAATTTGTGGTGTTTGTGGTCTAATGTGATGCTGAAATATAGACGGAAAGTAATCCTCTTCCTGTCCTCCATCCTGTCCAGGCACTTTATATAGATAGGGAAGAGCATCTTGAAAATGTGAAGATGAAGTGGGAAGCAGGCTAGGTGATGCACTTTAGAAACAGAGAGAAAAAGACAGGACTCAGAGAGAATGAAAGAGGATGTCAAATGATTTTGCAGGACTCTGAAATCAGGCTTGAAGAGAGGGCATCCGTTTCTGAGGACAAAAGTGCAGTCACTTTAGCTGTGGAGCCATTACCCTGATGGATACAGGTCCTCAGTGCAGAGTTAAAAGATCCTGAATGTAAGTTTTGGTATGTAGTTTCAAATTTGTTTCAAAAGTTGTGGAGTCTCCTTCTCTGGAGACATTCAAAGCCTGCCTGGATGCGTTCCTGTGTGATCTGATCTAGGTGTCCTGCTCCGGCAGGGGGATTGGACTAGATGATCTTTCGAGGTCCCTTCCAATCTCTAACATTCTGTGATTCTGTGAAATAATGTAGGCTTTTAGAGCTAAGCGCTCGGTAACTGGGAAACCCCAGGTTGAAGATAGTCAGTGCAACTGTAATCTGATCCTTCTGTTCACATTTAGGATTGGATTCTACTGGATCTGCTGGATCACAGAGATCGTGGGTGATGCTGTACAAACTGTTGGAGACGAGCTTCTCACAAGTGGCCTGGATCCATGTGTGCATTCGCTGATGTCCAGCTTATTGCTTTGCAGTCTCACTCAGCAAAGTGCCCGAGGCCTGCAGCAGTGACCCGAGTCAGAAGGAGCTGACTTCTGAACATACCAGGTACAAAGAACTGTGCTTCAGGTGTCTGAAGCGGGCACCATAACTCATCAAGCGTGACAGTGTTGTCCTGCGGGCTGAAGCCTGTGTCTGTGGATGGGGCTGCTAGATCTGCCCTCCCCCACCACACTGTTTCGAGTTTATGGGGCTTTCCAGGGATTTCGCAGGAGAAATCCCTGAAAAAAATGAACAGTAGTAACATAGTAAATGAGATATCTGTCCATGAGCAAAGTGATGAATATTAAATTTTATGTTGTACAACTTTTATTCAGCACATACAGACTGTAGGCAGAGACTTGGTGGAAGTGACAGGACATAGGCCAGTGTTTGCTTGCAAGATTTTCCTGTGCGCAGGCAACATCATGGTGCAATCTGAGGCCACGCTTGACAGCTCCTTACTCTTTTATTAGGGCTTGACCTTTTAACCTTTCATGTTGTATTAAACAAAATTAGTGATATTTTTACAGAGATGCTGCAGAATTAGTGTACACATGAACTTATTACACCAGTACTATTTTCATGTTGTGAATTACTGTGTGTTTTCTTCTCAGTTTCTTATTTTTATTTTATCTAACACCTTAAAACAGTCGTGGGTGAGAAAGACAAATGCAAGTTACACTTCTGAGGGTAGGGGGAAGGAAGGGTAGACCTATTCCTACAAAATTATAAGTTCATTACGCAGGAGCTCTTACTCAGTGTGGTTTTCTGTTTGTGTTTTCTTTGTCAAGCACAAAAAATACAATGTAATTATTGTTGAGCCTGCTGTCAGTCTGCTCTCTGTGGAAGGCTGATGAAATTTAGTTTTTCCCAAGTTCAAGGAATGGTAAGCACAAAGGCAACATAGTCCTGCACACACATGGTTTAGTTTGCACGAATGGCATCTAGATGCCGTGGATTGTCATTTTGAAGACATAGAAACTATTGTTTGCAGTTTCCAAATGTAGATGCTAAATACAAAAAGATTGAACTGCTGAACACAACACATGGCAGTTCAAGGATCAGACTAGAAGTGGAAGGACCATCAACTCTAGGGAAGCCAGTAAATCAGGAATGCAGGCAGACGAGCAATGTGGATGGTTTGCAGAGCTACGTCTGCATTTCATGTGAAAAGCATCTCAGAAACAGTTATTGATTAAAAGAGATCTAAATAATCCTGAGATTGCTAGATGCCTTTGTTTGTTCCCTTTCCACCATGCTGTCTAGAAAATGGTCCACCATTTCCATCAGGAAGTGTAGATGTTCTCACTGTCTCAGTGCCTCCAGGCAAACTTGGCCACACAGTTTTAAAGCCAAGCAAACCTGAATTTTAAGCTGCACCATACATTTATTTTTTTCTTTTAGATAGGGATTTTTCATCTTGATGTTGTGGCATGAGGTGGAAGTCTTGATTTTATTATTGCTGAGGGAGGAGGTGGAAAGTCTTCCATTTCCTAAAGCTTTCTGTATATGATTGAGTTGAATCTATGTGGCTTATGTTTTAAATTCAAACAGTTATCTTACATGGTTGGATTCCTGAATGAAAGCCCCTCTCTCCGGATATTAATGGACTTTCTTTGTTTACATTGCTTGTAAAAGAATTGGTTTAAGTTGAAATTCACTTTTTTTGCTTCAGTGTAAATGTGATTGTAATCATGACACTTCTCAAGACCAGTATATACCCCCAATGAACTATACAAGTTCAGGAGGCTGTATCTGTGATGGAATCTTTTCCATCTCCTCCCTAACATCTTTAACACATCTAACAATCCCATGAAGCGGATTATAGACCTGCAGTTTTAATTCACATTAGATCTAGGCTTATTATACTGGGTATAATAAAGTCACACATGTGACTTTTCTTAACCTGGGAATAACCGATGATCTTGTGAAAGGAAGGATGTGTCATTCATGGTGGATAGCATGTTTGTAAATGCTGTGAAAATACTTGAATTCCTGGAAAAACAAAAATGAATCCTCCAGACAGAGAGATCTGGAGATGTCCTTCTTGGTGCTGCTTCTTAATTTGGTTCTTCTTCTTTGTAGTTTAAATGAGGTCACGGGATGTACAGCTTTTGTGATGGGAAATTTTCAGCTTCCTGCTTGCTGTAACACTTGGTGCAGGGTTCTTGCTAAAGCTTTCAGATTTCACTTTCTGAAAAGACTTTAGGTCTAGAGTTTCAAGTAAACAACATACTTAAAGGAGACTTATGGTTTGTTGGTCTGTACAGATTACACATTCTGTGGGTTTTAAATGAAATTTTTAGTTAAGTATGTCTGAGGCAAACGCATAGTAAACAGATCCTGATCTGTAACAACGTCATTACTTTATTTCTTCAATCCATCATACAAAAAAGGCAGGTTGGATGGATGATTTTACTTACGAAATGCTGCTGTCAGTGTGTTGTTTTGTTTGATGCCTGGAACACTAAGGTCAATGATAGCATATGGAGAGCCTACACTTGCCTTTCCTTTTTTTTATTCTATCTTGATACTTTCCGTGCCATTTCTTGAAACTTTTCTGTCCCAACTGTATTGGTAAATGCCATTTCTGTTCCTGAGAGGCTTCCTACTCTTTTCCCAGGAAAAGCTTAGAATGACAGAGAACCTGTGACATTTGAGGCAGTTGATGTAATGAAGGGTCAAGATCTAGAGAAGATTTTTCTAGTAAGCAGCAGTAGGAAGCGTTCTGTTAGTGTAGATGTGGTGCTTAGGGACATGGTTTAGGGGGTTAGGTGGTGTGGGTTGATGGTTGGACTGGATGATCCTTGAGGTCTTTTTGCAACCTTAATGATTCTATGGTTAACACGTCTACACATACTGATAGCTGAAGGCTTCCTGTAATTTGCTCAAGAGCTTGTTTTTTTCTCCAGGTGAAAGACTGGCATTTTGGGGGGGAGGGAGGGGTTGGGGATTGTGCTATTATTCTTTTGGATTTGTCTTCAGGATTTGTTGTCTTCTCTCTTGCACTTTTTTAGTTTCTAAGCTTTGTAGTTTCTGGAAGAGTGTTCTAGCACCAGAGTTTTGGATCTGGGATCCATCACTGTATAAAATACTGTGAACAAATTTAAAATCTGATATTTTGGGTTATCTTTGGCGTAGTTGCGTTATCTATGATGTAGTTATAACTATGATGTAGTTATTAGTTATGAACTTTCAACCCTTGTGAACCAGTATTTTATTTACTTCTTTCCTCCTGTTCCTCTGTTTTACAGGCAAGATGAAAGATCGGCTAAACGAGCTGCGGGAATTTGCCAGGTTACACAACCAACAGTTTTCTGATGGTGAGGATGATGAAAATTCACCCCATGATATTCTCCTTTATGAGACTGATTATGCCTTGGAAATTCTTCATAAAGACATACAGAACATCCGGACAGAAAATGACCACCTAAAAGAGGATGTCAAACGGCTCAGAAAGCAAAACAACCGCTTCCTTACTTCCATGCGCCGTATTAGTAGCATCAAACGAGATACCAATTGTATTGCCAGAGACATCAAGGCCCGTGGAGAAAACATCCACAGGAAACTCCAGATAATGAGAGATTTCTGTGAAGACGCAATCACAAAATACGGGGCTATGTCTGTCATTGCCAGGGTAGCGAAGAACCACTACGTTGACCTCATGCACACATTTCAGGAAGCTATGTTTGACTACAACGCAGCAGAGATGAACCAACGGGAGAACTGCAAGATTCGAATACAGCGGCAGCTAGAGATCATGGGCAAAGATGTTTCTGGCAACCAGATCGAGGAGATGATTGAGCAAGGCAAGTGGGATGTCTTCTCTGAGAATCTCCTGTCGGACGTTAAGGGGGCTCGCTCAGCCTTGAATGAGATAGAGATGCGCCATAAGGAGCTGGTGAAGTTAGAAGGCCGCATCAAGGATATTCACGAGCTCTTTCTGCAGGTGGCCCTGCTAGTGGAGGAACAGGCAGACACCTTTGATGTAATTGAGATAAATATGCAAAATGTTGAGGACTATGTAGGAGAAGCTAAAGACCAAGTGAAAAAAGCTTTGGAATACAGAAGAAAGCACCCCCTCAGAACAATCCTCTGCTGCTGCATATCCTGTTGCAGAAGGAGACTATCCCAGTGAAGCTATTATAGACTGACTCGAAAGTCTTCAAAATCAGGCATTCTTTCCAGTCACGTCTCTGTAATGACAACCCCTAGAAATGAGGGGGTCTGTTTTGCAGTTGTTTTTGTTCATTGCCTTTTTCCGAAATGTGCTGAAGGCTGTTCAATTTGAGAGCTCCTAGAAATGTTGATAAAACTATTTCTAACCTATTTTTAATTGAAATGTACTCTGTTGCTGTAACTAGAGGTGCAAGAAGATCTCTGCAGTGATACTTGTTTCAGATACGCAAGAAAGAGGAATGAATGATGGGCTGATAACTCAGCCTGGGGAAGATGAGAAATTTCAAGAAGTAACTTTATTCTTATTTGTCAAAGTGAGTCTGCAGGCGGTGCAGCCCTACCGCCTGGGGTGACACAATACACCAGAGAATCAGGAGGTCTCAATTTTAACTAGTTTGGAGCCTACTTGATGCAAATACTTGAACTGATTTTTTGCTGTGTTCATTTGACAAAATGCTGAGCCTGTCAGCAGGAGCAGGACACAGAACTAGTTTCTATTTCAACTTGATTTCCACCTGTCACAAATCTGAACAGAAGTAACTGCACCTTAAATGCTAATATGCACGTTTTGCCCTGTTTGCATGCAAACGATTGCTTTTCTCCATTCTAAGTACCTGCAACTTTGTCAAGGAGGCTAGAAGCACTGCAACACTGAGGCATCTCACTGACTTAACTTGAGCAACTCTCTGCACTCCCAGTTTCCAAACTGCCATGCTTTTATGCTTCTAATACATTTTTCTGACAATTAACACGTCAGCCAGAAGAGATGCATGCGGTGGCTTTCTGCAGAAGCAGCCCTAAGAACACAACAACCAAGGGGTCGAGAAAGCATTTTAGGGTCTCCCGTGCTGGCACACACACACAAGTGGAAGGATTATACTGTCAATAGGCTTTTATTTTTTTATAAGCATTGATTTAATATGTATTTTTTAATATCTGTTTTAAATGAAATGAAGGATTAAACTTACACACATGCAATTTTACCAGTGTACAAAAACTACAACTTTTCTCCCATTATTAGGAAATCTTCACTTGAGGAAAAAATAGACATATTTCTTCAGTACACCTGAAGAAGAAAGAGAACAACATTTTAATGTCATTTCAGTGCTCTTTTCAAGTTTAAAAGTAATCTCTTCTTTTATGCAAGAGGAGTCTACCCACAGTAGGTCTGGAATATGAGGAGGGAACAGAGAATTTGCAGCCCTGGAAACCACTGAGCGTTGTCAGTGAAACGTATTCATAAGGTCTGGTGAGTGATTCGAGCTCCTGCTTCTGGAGGTTTTCCAACTACAATATTTCTAGGTGGCTTCCTGATACACTGTGATCTATTGCAATCCTTTGAATTAATGCAGGACATTTTTTCAGAAGTTGGTGACTTTTTTTAAAGCGCTGATCCTATTTGTACGTATTTTAATAAATATATTTAAACATTTCAAATATTTTGTATTTGAGAGTTTTCCTCGGGAAATGCACATAGCCATCTTCCTGCGCCAATCGCATTGGAGCTTTTCCCTTCTGATCTTTTGCACACTAATTTTATATGTGAAAAAACACCCAAACATTTCTTACTATTTATACTGATAGAACAAAACAGTGAAATAAATTCAACTTCCAAGCTCTCATATCCTAGTGGGAAATGCTTCTCAGCCAGACAGGCTTTTTTACACAAATAGAAGCTAACTGGATAACTCTTCTCTGAAACTGAAAGCCTCTTTCACTGAAGCACCTGTCTGTGGTAACACAGAAGAGTGAGGAACACCAATCTTCTAAAATAGAAGATATTTTGGTATTCAGTGATGTCCAGATGATATCAGTATTATGCTTGCCTGAGGACCTCTCCAACAACCTGTGTTCAAACTTGAAGTGGGAAAAAGGAGGGTGCTGAGCTGGCACCATGATGACTGCTTTGGTGCTATTCAAGAAGACAAAGTAATTTACTCCGTAGGTACTGCCATTCGAGTCAATGGAACTGTGCATTTGTAGAGAACTACCTTAAACCTCCGAGGGTCCGCATGTGGTTATAAATCAAGGAAGAATAAAAAATGTATTTCATTTTGTCTGCATATTTTTAGCACTCACCAATGCTTTTGATAAAAATGTGTCCATGGTTTTTTTTGTTGGTTTCTTTTTTGCACAAATGTATGTCTACAAATGGAATAAAAGATTTAATAAGAAAAACTGGAAGTGCAGAGTTGTGCATTGAATCAGCAGCTCTGAACAGTTTCTTGCATTGTCAAAGTTTAGTTCAAAAGCTGCTGGACTGAACTCTGAGTTGGTGAAAGGAGATTAAACAATGCCTAGGAAAAAGTGCTTCCAATATTTGTTGCCACAGTAAATCAAATGTGTTGCATATTGAGATAGACTTACCATAATTTTTCCCATAAAAAACATGAAAAATGAGTTTCATACATTCTGAGATGATTCTCTACTGCAAGAAAAAATCAAATTTATTCTGGCAGTTCTGAGAGATCTTGATGATTTCATTAGTAGATATGCAAAGCTTGTATTCAAATCTTCAGTCCAATTTGAGGCACAGGGAAAAAAGAAGCATGAAGGAAAGGTAATTGTAGACCTTCTGACTTAAGGCTGTTGCTGCAAGGAAGAAACTGAGAATTATTGAAATACCAGCTTTAGACCCTTTAAAACTATTCTGAAGTCACATTGTGAATTAGAAGCACTTTAAAAATTACTTCCAGTAACTGAAGAAATAATTCTCTTCCTTGCAAACATGTTTTCATTGCTTAACACTATGGGGGTTTTTCTGTCCTTCAATTGTGTAAGAACTCAAATTTGCCAGCACATGACCTTGCCTAGTCACAGTTAAACAGAGCTTTGAAAAAACCCCATCACGCTGTGGTTGCAAAGACTCGTGGCACACAGGATGAGTGGCAGAAGATGATAAAAGTATTTCGATAATGTGTTAGCACACTAATAACAGAAGCTGCGGAATGGACACCTTCATGCTGGCTAAGAAAAGCCGCCTTTTCATTCTGAAAGCACGACTGCTATGGAAATGTGTGTAGCATCTTCTATGGGCTGTGTTTTGTTTTGGTTTTGGTTTTTCTCTTCCCTCCTATGGCAAACCCTATAGCTGGGTTTGAGGGGGAAGCAGGTAAAATGTGAGAGCGGCTGCTTTAGGTTGTAGGGTGGCTGTTAACTTTGGTTTTGTTTCCTACCCAAAGCAGCAGAAGCTTCGCAACCCACCCACCGCTCCATGCATCTCAGCCCTTTCTGAGGAGGAGAAAGGAGAACTGGCAACCACGCACGCCTTGCTCCTTCTAAAAATGTCAGAGAGCATTGCATAAATATAAAAGAGAAAAAACCCCCCGTATTATGAAATATAATGTTCGGTATATAATGGTGAACTTCCTGGATGTGTGTATGAGTCTCCATTCCATCTTGTGGGTTTTTTTGGGGTTTTTTTTGAACTATGGGTTTAATTTTAGAGAACTGGCAGTGGGACGATTGCTGCCTCAGTGGGAGGGACCCGGACAAGGACGTATGTGCCCCCTTGAGCAGGCATCTGTCTGGCATGTGTCTGGGGAGCAGCTCATCCAGCTAAAGGTGCAGCTCTTGGTTTAAGACCCAGCATCTTTCTTCTGGATGCTAAGTAGCTAAGCTAAGCCGCTGCTTTTCTAGCGTAACCTACGCTTAAGGATGTTCAGAGGCAAGGCGCGGGTGAGGGCGCAGGGCGCGGAC